CACACACACACACACACACACACACACACACACACACACACACACACACAAACGGCACGAAACATTCATAAAGAAACACAAACTCTATGGCATAAAATCTAAACTTTCTTTAGTGTGTTTGAGCTTCTTAACTCTACAGATTATAAATGTACACAGTGCTTGTAATCTGCACTAAAAACTCAAATTCAAACACTATTAAAACGTCCTGCAGTGATGTGTTGTAAACACATCATTTCATTGGTTTTATGTGCTGTTTTTTAAAATCCAAATGTGTTTTTGAGGCCTTTTTTTTGGATCAGTTTAGATTTTCTGCATTAGCAGGTGGCTCCTATTAAACAGTCAGGACCGACAGGTGGGATGGTGCAGTTGGAGGATGAGTTTGAGGGGGCTTGCACGGCTGAGGGGAAGGGACAGGTTGCGGTGGTGACAAAGCGAGGGGAGGGGAGGTGACCGAACAGTAGTGTAGTAGTTAAAGAGTGCCTGCAGAGGAGGGAGGTGTGTTCTGGAGAGGGCCCCTACCCCCCACGTAAAGCGGCGCCTCCCCGTTGAGGGGCCGCACCGCCCCAAAGCTGTCCATTGTGGTAGGGAGRCCCCCGTCGATGGACAGGTTCACCATCTGGTCGAAGGTCACCAGCTCCACCGTGTGGAAYTGCCCGTCGTTAATGGTTTCGGTGCTGACGGAGGAGAAGACAGGCTAGAATCACCGAAATGAACTKCTTTCATTTAATCATTTTTGTGTTGAAAATTGTTTTTTTAATTATTAAATGTTTTGTTTTTAATTAAAGAAGACTCAATAACCTCACAGTGGTGGTAAAGTCACCTGTAAATAGCGTGTCCAGGCTGGCTGCCGGGGTCGTAGCTGACTTTAACGTGGCCTTGGAAGAGCTCCACTGCAATGTGATCATTGTCTCCATTGTACAGCAGGATGCCGTTATCCTCAGCTGTAGAAACCTACAAACACAATGTTTTTATTTTATTTTATTTTTTTTTACACTGGATGTCTCATTCAGGTGACGAAACAGAAGAATCAACCCACAAAAGCGACTCWGATTACCTGCAGGGTGATGTTAGCTTGAGGCCAGTTCTGGAGGTCAGAGAGCAGTAAGTAGGAGTCTCGGTCGATGAAGTTGACACTGACCAGCTTTTCGCAGCGTGGCCCCCCGAACTCTGGAGGACACTGACAGAGGGCGCGCCCGCCTCGCTCCACACAGGGGGCGCTGTTCTGACAGTCGGCCAGCTCACACAGAGACAGCAACGATGGAGGAACCTCACACAGCTGACCGCTACAGGGACAGAAACAACAGGAGAGGTTTTTTTAGCTGGTTTAAATTAAATAAAATACAATAAACGCGAGCTTTTCTCACCTGTATCCTTCAGGACAGATGCAGGAGTAACCATTCAGCTCATCCACACACTGAGCTCGGTTCTGACAGCGGTGCTCCTCGCAGTCGTTATAGTTCACGCTGCAGTCATCACCAACATAACCAGGAGAACACACGCACCTGTGGAACGATTATCACACAAATAAAATCAGCCCTAGCACACAGTAGCTGACCTCTCTGTCACTACGTAACATCTGCTGCTGTAACTTCAGGCAGCAAACACCTACTTGGGTCCAGAGGTGGTGATGAGGCAGGTAGACTGATGTTTGCAGGGGCTTCGTCCTGGAGCACACACGTCTTCCATCTCTTCGCACATTTCCCCTGCACAGTCCAAGTGTTTTAAATATACTTTAAAAGCTTTAAAATCATTCTTGTCCTAAAATGACGTTTATGACAATGACCACAATTTCCCACAGTTAAGTGGCAGAAACTAGAAACTAATTTATTAATACTAAAACACACAAAGTCAAGACAAAAATGGCAGCAGCATCGTGTGGAGGCTTTGTCTTGGATTAAAAGGACAATCAGATTAGAAAGAGATTACTGCAGAAATAATAAACTACAAAACCTTTTTTGTGGCTCTCAATCATAATGATGAGAAAAAGTTGCAACAGACTGAAATTATTTAGTTTCTGGATTTATGTGAAGCATTTTTATACTGCTTTTTTGCTTAAAGTAGACATATGCTTTTAGATCCTTCTTTTTCCACATTTAAATCATTCAGTTAGTCTATATAAAGTGGAACTGCATTGCTTTGGTGTGAATTCCTCCTTATCGTAACTCCACAAGCCCCTCTTTCACCCCTCAACTCRTTTTGAGGCTGTCTCTTTAAATGCAAAAGAGATGCTTCACACACTGCCCCTGTCCAGCTTCTAGAGCGAACCATTGTAGCTTGATAGAGGGGTTTACGACTATTAGGGGTGCACCAAAAAATCGTTTTGCATCAATATTGTGATTCTCATTTACAAAGATTCAGAATCAATTTAAAACGTCCCAAAATTATTTTATTAATAAAAAAATTGCAAAGATTTGTGCTCATTTTGTTTTTTACTGAATGAGTGAGTTCGACGTGAGCGAGGTTTGCAAAATGAAGATGAAGAACTTTGGGAACACGACAAATGGGCTCACATTATCAGCTTTGAATGAAAAATTGATTTTGAATCAAATCGTGGCCCCAAAAATCAGAATCAAATCGTGAGAGAGTAAAAGATTCCCACCCCTAATGACAATATATTATTTACAAATTAATTGTAAGACGTGTCCATCCTGTCTTACATGTTGGTGCTGAGGTCTGACCCAGAGCCAGAGGAGAATGAAGACGACCAAATTGTTTAGTTGGCAAGTCCAGACCTTATTTGGCAGTTTTKTTGCAAATACTGTGATGTAATAGTTCAGAAAATGTCTTAGAAAATAGAGAAAACTGCTATGCAGCACCTGGAGAGACTAAATTCAACTTTTCTGCACTAGAAACTCTAAAAACACAACAAAATGTATTAACAGCTAAAAAAAGATAAGGTTTTACATATGTCCTCTTTAAAAGACACAATTTAATATTCTGGTAGAATTTGTTTACTAATCCTTAAATCCAGCAGCACTGTAAGCACTAACCTGTGTAGTAGGGGGGACAAAAACAAGTGTAGTTGTTGACTCCATCGATGCAGGTGGCTCCATTCTCGCAGTCATTGTCTTCGCAGTCGTCTGTGTTGGTTTGGCAAGTCGGGCCCTCAAAGCCCAGTGGACACGTGCAACTGTGATTACAAACAYACACTCATCACGGGTTCTGCTCAGTTTGAGGTTTCAGGTCTTCGTTGTCCTGATTCTAAAGCTCGCCGTCCTCACCTGTACTCCCCCTCGTTCTCCTCACTCACTTGGCAGGTGCCTCCGTTGGCACAGGGGTTACTCATGCAGGCGTTCAGACCTGTCTCACAGTTCTTGCCCTGAGACAAAGTACAGAAATAAAGTTAAGCTTTCTCTATCAGTTCGGGGGGTCGTTGAAGTCGATCTTTTTAAGTGCTTGTCGACGTAATGCCGCTTTCACCTTGAATCCAGGAGGACAGCTGCACCTGTAGATGTCCGTCGGGTCGTTGTGACAGATGCCATGGTTCAGGCAGGGTCTGGACAAACACGGGTTACACTTGGCCAACACGTCGATGTCCACATCAGCTGCAGACATGACGCAGTGGATTTATAATAAATATGTTTAAAGTTGATTTTAGGCCCTTTTTTTAAAATCAGTTTTAGTGTCTGAGACAATAACTCACCTTTGCATTCAAATTTCTTAGCAGGTGTTGTGAGGAGCAGTTTGCTCTCCATGCCCTGTGGACCAGAACAACGTGCAATCCCAGGCTCCTTGTACCCAGTCTTCACCCAGTCGGACAGCCAGCGCAGGCGGCAGTCACAGTACAAGGGGTTGGCACCGATAGCTCTAAATATTAAAGAGAAAACTGTTATGGAAATAATACGTTTTGGTTTACGCCAGTAATTCATGATATACTTTAATGACCTAGATTTTCATGACATGCTGTTTATCAGCAGATAGAATGATTAAAGTCAGAACAAGATTTGTTAATAACAATCATTCGTAGATATCACTTGTGTTTATCTTTGTGTTCTCCTTGACCCAGCATTTCCTTAGGATTAAATCTTGCTTYATTAAGATGACATAATAGTGTTTATTAAACAATATACTGTATATGAGGCCTCAACTGGCTCAAAGGAAGCAGAAGCAGGAGCAGAGAGCAGGGGGACAGTCTGATGGCTCGATGTTGTAAGGTTATTATAGTTAACTAAAACTAACTAAATAATGAAAACTGAAATTGAAAAAACATTTTAGTTAAAATAAATACAAACTCTAACAAAATGAAAAAAAAAACTAACTAAAAATGTCTAATCCTTTTACAAAACTAACTAAAACTAACTGAAATTATAGATAGAATATCCTTAGTTTTAGTGTTTGTCAGTTTCTTTTGAGGCATGTGGATTTTTTTTATCAAGTAGTTTCACATTAGCTGTGGTCTGTAACAACACTTGTTTACAGTCTGCTGCTGCTCAGCATCACCTGCCAAATGACGACAACAAAAGTTGGGAAAAAGTGGCAAAGTCCACTTTGGGATTTCTTTGAATAGGACTGTGAGAAAAATCAAAGCAAGTGTCTTGTAGTGGAAAATTAAAAAAAAGTCAAAACAAAATAAAAGTAAACTATAATGAAAAATCCTAAACTATTATAACCTTGCTATGTTGTTCTGTTTTTCCTGTTGTTGCAATAAAACTCAGCTGATAATTCAACAGAGTGCCTTCATTCTTGGACCACATATTCTGTCTTTGTTAAATATTTCCACAACAAAACCATGACTGAGTGTACCACTGCAGTACACTCCGCAACCAGCAGGTGTCTCTACATCCACATTAAAAAAAMCATCAAATTCAGCTACTGCACAAGTATTTTCTTTAATAATAAAACATCTTTTACGCTTTCATGTTTCATGACAATTTGTGCCATCTTCTTGAGCAGAGCCATTATGGGCGTGAAAAGAAGGCAGTCTTTAAGCACCTTTGTGGCTGTAGTTGTGAATCAATGGTGCCCTGTCCTCCTGCTGGAAGCACAAACACTCCTGAATCGATGCCGTTCCATTACACTGGAACACAAGCTCATCTTTCAGGCCGGGCCAGTAGCTGACACCTGACATCTGCTAACATGAAAGCCACTTGACTGTGACTGCGGATCAATGGCTTCTCCTCCGCCCGGCCTTTAATCCCGACTTTATGCAGCCTCGACTCCTGTCCTGCTTCCCACAAAGCGTCTTTGTTTGCTTCCCTCTTCCTTCGCCGGCCCCCGACACTGATAGGTCTATTGATCAGCGACTGCCAAGGGATGATGAGGACGTCAAGGCAGGATGCCAGAGGGCAAAGACGCCTCTGCGCAGCTTTAACTTGCCAAACAGAAAATGACAGACATACACAAACAAACACTACAGCCCGCAGACCGTGGAGAATGTATGTGTGCTTTAGAGACGTCACAAGGAGATGAGRCAGCAGAGGGGTCTGTGTGTTGCTTTAACCACAGAAATGATTACAACGGGCTCGGCTCGTGTGGAGCCAGCCCAAAAAAATGACAACAGACGGTCCACTGTGATCCACGCTTCTCAGCCKTCAAACCCAGACCCCACACCGCGCCTGAAAACACGTGTCTGGAGTGTTTGCAATCGACAAACTTTGATATAAGCAKCTCAAAGGTAAGAAATCCGGAGTTCACACTTACAAATGGGAAAGCGAGGTCACGTCGTTGAAGATGCCGTCAGGAAGCTCGGAGATTTCGTTACCGTGGAGAGACCTGCAGGGAGGAACGAGACRAGATGAACATATCTTGAAAAGAGCGACAAAACAATGGCGAACATTTTCGTCCGCGCTAACTGCTCTGATTTGTTTTTACGGCGAGCGACGCCAAACATTTAGTTTTCACTGCCGTGTGTCGGTGGTTCATGTTTCTGGCAGGGCTTTGAGCAGCTGGCCAAGATATGTGGMTCTGCGAGTCTGGAAAAGCCTGGTGTCGAGTTTCTACGTGCGTTTGGCTGGCAGGGCCAACAAGAGCACAAAGGAGGGGATGGGGGGCAGATTTTCATGACACCAAGGACAGTGAAAAATGTCGAGATAACTGCGTACAGAGTCAAAATGAAATAATGCTAAGTGCTTACATATTTTAGCTCCTCCAGCTAAATTAGAGGTTTTTTTTTTCCATGTGCTGGAAACTATTCAGTGTCTTACAGTCATTCTGTTTACGTTTTATGAGTATCATTCAGGGTGACAAGTCTTCATAGCTTATTGGTTGGATGACTGACTGTAGCCATAATTTGCCAGCTCATTACCACCTCAAATCTTCAGCTGACCGCAAGCTTGTGTGACTACTCGCACCGTAGTAACCATGCACGACATCTCAAGGAGAGGAGATTTAATCCATGCTTGAAACGTAACTTTTCATCTAAGTTTGATACCTCGAGCTGAGCCGAGGAGGAGCCGTAGGAGAGGAACCAGGGAGGGATGTTGGTYAGTATAAATATACAGAGGACTAAAGGGAAAATATACAGTGCAACCTGAGTCAACATGTTTGTTAGCCTGTGTGCCGTGGAGAATGCTTATTAGTGTAAAGCGAGTGGGTGGGTTGTTGTAGTCGGAGGATACTGAGGCCATGAAGGCAGCGGCGGTGTGACAGCCAGGGAGAAAACTCATGGGGAAAAGGAGCCAGGGAGTCTCCAGGATGAAATCGGAGCTGCCCTCATACTAACATTTACTTTTTTTTCTTTTCCACGGTTTATCATCGTCAGCTCAGTCCATAATGTGCACTTATTTCAGTACGATTTTCAGAATAAAAGCTTACGAGATAACGAGCCGAACTGGTTCRAACTTTTTTCACTCGTTCACCTGCTGCCGCTTATTATTCTGTGATGATTTGAGTCCTCCGAGCRGCTTCAGCTTGTTAAATCTGTGCCAGACGTTCTGCTCAGATGTTTTTTTTTCCTTCCTTATCACAGGCTTCGCATATCCCATTGTCTCTGACAGCATCTTTGGCCACGCCCCCACGCTGTTTCAGCTCACTCACCTCACACCTAATACCCAGCAGGCCAATTAGCAGCATATTAATCTGCAGCTCAAGCCACACTTTTAATCATTCAGATCACAGTCGCACCACGTCCACGGTCGGCCTCAACCCCTGGCCTGTTTGAAGAACGGAGCGTWAATGATTCTTCTCCTTTTTTACTGCTGTGTAAAGTCAAAGGTACAGCTTTATGAAGGCTTTGGCACCTCAGCATGTGCGAGTGCACACAAGTGCTTTCCCGCTCATAGCCAACGTTGGTACCACGCTGAGGTTTATAAAGCTCCCAATATTGAACTTTAAGCCTTTTGTGGGGTCTTTAAGTGGAAACCATTAAATGGAGCTTATTGTCAGAAAATATTAATGATAAAAAAAACAAGCACCGACTGACATTTAATGGGAGGCTTATGACTGAGACATCAAAGTTTTCGGCTTCGTTTGGACTCCCGTCTCACCGAGACACCGAGGTAGTGCAGACGCTGGTGTGTGCGTGCGCACGTCTGACTGCGTGTGTAGTTCTGAGGCAGCTCGGGGCGGGCGGCTCTGGAGGAGGGCCTCACATGGCGTCTAACGCGCTCGCATGGAGAATGTTTTAGAGGCGAAGGTGGCGTGAGTGAGTAAGAGCAGAAATAACGGACGCGGCTTCATTAGAGATCAAAGCGGCACGCTCAGGCTAGCGAGGCGACGTCGGCTAATAATGACCGAGCTTCACTCTCATTCCACACTAAAAGGGCTTTATGTTTTGTGTCTCGTAATGACTGGGGGGGGGGKGGGGGCTTCAGTCGAATCCTGCCGTAAAAGGAGGCTTTGTTGAAGCTTTGTTGTCAGTAATAAAAASTGTGCCTGCTAGGAGCACACATGGAAGGCTGAGAAGTCAGCTCCCACACACATACTAACAGCCAGTAGATCACAAACATGAAGACTGTTTAAAGAGGCATAAACACACACATATACTCACATATGTGTGTGTAATCTCATAAGAAGGGCAGCCAGGCCTGGTCTCCATGTCTGCTTATAGAACCAAACTGCACATTGTGCAGCCGCTGTATCTTTGGATGCATTTCTACAAAAACTGGTTTCATTCCGTCATCGTTCTGTCCAACTAATTTACTTTCTGCTCTCCAGTTATTTAGCAGCCCACGCACAGTCAAAGGCTTTGTAACTTTATGAAATCCTCGAAGCAGTGCTGGAGCCGTTACGGTCAGAAGGCCAAAAATTCTCCTGTAATCAGTGTCAGAGTGGGGGGGGGGGTGTTCGGCCCTTATGGCGAGGCTGTGATGAGCTGAGGAGCTGAGGGCATCAAGAGGGGAACAGGCAGACTGGGATGATGGAGGTGGGCGTGGCCGGGAGCAGGAGCTGGATCGATGCTGCCATTTAAACGGAGAAAATAGGTCGGCGTGTGCGAGCGCGAATTCACAAGCTGTCACAACTGTTTAGACAGTTTCGTTCCTCTGGAGTCAATCAAAGACTCTTAGCATCTGTTCCATCGGCTCTGTGATTGTTGCAAAAATAACCTCCTCAGCAACTCGTTGAGCCTGAACGTGTGTCCTGTCTGGTTTCAGAACTCGCTCTTTCAAAACAGCTTCAGTTGTTTCCGGCGAATTTCAAGATTTTGAGCTGATTAAAATTACGCGACACAGAGAAAACATTTGTTTTTCATGTAAAAATGAAAAAAAAAAACATTTTAAATTCAAAATGCCTTACACTACATTCTAAATAAAACTCAAAAAAAAAAAAAACCTCACAGCAGCCGAAGTGAGTGCAGTCCACTGAAAGCCATCTTGGGGATGCAACGCAGGGAGTTGTAGCTCAAGATTCTGTAACATCAAAAATAATTTAGCATATAAAAATGCACAATACAGCTGTTTCCATCTGTTTGTCATCAGTAAAATGAAATACCAGAACTTTTTGCAGATGGAGCTAATAAGGACTTACAGAGTGGTAAGTTGGCTCATGTTAGCAAAGGATGCGTTGGTCAGAGAACTGATCTTATTATTGCTCAGGTCACTGTAAGGAATGATTAAAAAAGGTAAGTGTCTATATTGATCTCTGCAGGTTTGTAGAAGAATCAGACAAAAAAAAAAACTTACACCAACTGCAGGTATTTAAAGGTTGACATTTCCTTTGGAACAATACTGAACTGGTTTCCATCGAGGTATCTGAACAMAAAGAAAAGAGTTTTGTTTAGAAACTCTGACACAAACGTTTCATTCCTGAAACCCAGGCTCAGTAATGAGAGCGTATGGATTCTATACAAGCGGGCTAACTGTGAGGTATGCATTTGGCAAAAAAAAAAAAAAAAAAAAAAAAAAAAACTGGGAATGAAAGCAAAGTGAGAACTTCTTGAAATTAAGCGAGGAGCCTGCATGTGTGTCAACATTCTGGTGTGTTTTAGGCCACCAAAGTCAACATCATTCCTGCAGGAAAGCAATCATCTCTCTGACTGCCGACACAAAGTCGTACAAGTAGTCTGTCACTTTGATAAATGGCTGATTTCGAACCGGCTCCCTCTGAGCACAACTACAGGATCCAGCTATTGTTGCTGACTGCACAGAGGGTGGGCAGGTCAAGGGATTGGGTGGGGGGCTGGCAGTTAGTTAAGAGGCCTTGGGGTTCAGAGGTAATGATAGGTAATGATGGTGCAGAGGACACTTGGGATAATGATGGAGTAGCAAACTCTCCAGATGACGAGATGAAAGCTCAGAACAGGGAGGTACACCTGGTCACACCTGCTGGGACAATGACAGGCCTAAAGGCTCGCTCAGCGTGTATGTGTGTGCATATGTGTGTGTGTCTGTGTGTGTGTGTGTACAAGAGTCGGGCAGGACCAAATAAGGCAGTATTGGAAAGTTTCAGGCCTATTCATTTCCCTCCCCTTTCCATTGAAAAACTACTCATTAAATAATCCTGTTGCTCCCCTTTGCTCCCGTGGACGGGCTTTTGGTCTTAACACAAATCTGTGCACACACACACACACACACACACACACACACACACACACACACACACACACACACAC